TGTGTCCTCATAAACCACATAAACATGCACACACACACATATATATATATATATATTCAGTCACTGAAAAACAGTCAAGTCTATTGAAGAGGAAGAATTCATTTTTTTCTCACATTTTCTTTTCTTTTGCATCTTATTTTGTAAAAGGTCTCTTGTGCAGAAACTTTGTTATTCTTATGACTAACGAGCACGTTCGCCCTCTTGTGTCCAATATTCTGCATTGCAATTGCAGTATGGAATTTAATCAAGTGCGTCTGAGCTCCTCGTTTGGACTTACATGTCCGTGGGTTTATGTTACTTGTTCAGAGAAGCGGATATGCTTGTAAATGCTACAGTTTTAAAATATCTTAGTGCTAATTTTACAACTAATTTAAAACTGACTATATCTAGAAAAATATATGCTATTCGTAAAAATTGGACGTAATATGTAGTAACATTTTGATATCATATTTATGCTTCCTTTTATATGTCCTAAACAAGCAAGTTTATGTAGCAAAACATATCATTTGTAACATCAAACGAAAATGTCATAGCACAGCTGTTAACGTGTAGCGTTTGCCGTTTGAGAACATGACATCTTCTCTTCTAAAAACCATTCTTCTATAAATCTGAATCTGACAATTGCCACACCAGGCCTAATAAGGTGCTAATCGTGTCTTTCATGTCAAAACATTTGATGTTAGGACCAAACTGCGGCAGGGTGTAGGGAATGTTGAACAGGAAGTTCACATTCAATTATACATTTCTGTTGACCATGAGAATTTGTTTCATCAATAAACATCCTCTCAACCACGTTTAAATTAAAATGAGCGCTTTTCATAAATGATCTGCATTATTATTCTAATCGCTGACAGAAGAACGCTGAGTTTTCAACGCAGCAATATTGACAGTCGTTACCTTTATTACGTCGCTTTAGAGCTGTTTGTTGTTTTATCAAACCGAGGCGCGCGGGACCCGTTTGAATAGAGCTGTCTTTCGTATGTAGTAGAGAGGTGTTAATTAGCGCATGTTTTGTTGATTGGCGTGTACCTCCATCCTTTGATTAAGGGATATACTATCCGTGAGAATTAGATGGTACTTTTATTGACAAAGGGCCTCAAAATAAT